TGTTTGATAGTTCAATGACTACCCTGCATTCATCGATGTTAAAAACGATAATACATATAAGCAGCAAATCCTCGTTTTCTGGCTCGAATTGATGCTTCAATGTCCATCGATGAAATGCAGCAAAGCTGATTTTCGATGCCACCGACCATAACCAAAAAACCGATTTTCGATAACCTCCAAACATTAAATGCCGGTGGCTGAAACTGAACGCACCTGAGCGGTCGGTGGCAAGCGAAGCACACACTTCGGTGCAATTAATCGAAACCGAGCCAAGCCGATTTTCTGTAGCTCCCAATTTGAATTTCGATAATAACCGACCGAATCCGAAAGTGACCGATCTGTCGGTGGCGTCGGCTGACAAGGTTAATTTTGAGCACCGATCGAAATCGATCGATGCTCAAAATTAACCTTGTCAGTGACTTATGAAAAAATCTCTCGGTTCTCAACTCTGGCTGTAAGAAGGAATCTTTTAAAGAGACGAGACGATTTGAATGCTCATTTAGCTGATGAACAGTACCTCACTACACTAGAGTGAATAAATCGTTAGAAACAGTGTCAATTTCAACGACTGAAAACACAATCACATCGAAGCATCCATCAATTAATCGTTATAAATGATCTGCAAGCAAAACTGATAAAAAATAGACAAAGCGGCCAATTGTTTGCAACTGAATGGTGGATAACGAATGAAGAAAAGGTATTACATTAATGGCTGCAGTAAAGCTAAGAGGATATAAAAGATTATATAAAATGACGAAAATCAATCACACATCGGATTAAATATCCAAATAAGTAACATTCCAGACGAACGAATGTATTTGTGTGTGCAATAAGATTCTTCATCTCAGTTCGTTTCTTTCCACCTCTCTTTTTCAATATTCTCGTTCAATGAAGGTAACATTTAAATCATTGTTTCATTTTGATCTATTATTAAAAATAAGTCTCAGCGTATCATTTTATCATTATTTATTATTATTGCTAACATTATTATTTATTATTATTGTCATTATTATTATTATTATTATTATTATTATTATTATCAATTATTAATACTATTATTATTACTGTTACTGGTTTGGCTCTTAATTGATTTCAGCGAAATTTTAACAGTTCGATCGCATGAAATAGGTCTGTTAATAGCAGATAGACTCGCAATCGCATTATTTTATAAGCATGTTTTCAGCCGCTTAACAAAATGAAAAAAAAAATGTATTGATGGCACATAACTCAATAAAAGATTTTAGCATGTGGTTATGAAATTCCACAGTGGACGTTTTTAGTCATTCCATTGACTGTTAGTCGATTACTATTATCAAATATTATACGTTACCTGATGCAAATCAGCTGCAGAACTGGAAAATACTCTATATCATTTGATATAGACAACAGCAGTGCGAAGGTTTTTTTTTGAATTGCCAATGTTTAAATTACGCAATATTTGAATAATGCAGTTGGAGAATACGTGTAATTAGTAGTTGAAGGATGATTAGACAACCTTGATTATAATGTTCTTCGCGTAAAGAAAGAAAGTAGGTGAACAATTCACATCAAGCTGATAATGAAGCACATTAAGAAGAGGTGTTAATGAAGAAATATGAAAATAATCTGATATAGTGCCGATATTTCAAAAATCTAGTGACTAAATCCAACTTCGAAGAGTGCTGTCCGCTACGTGATTGGAGTCGATTGAATGTGAAAAGTTTTGAAAGGAAGACTAAACTGTTTCCCAAAAACAGCAATTAAACCTATTAAATTGTTTGGCATAAATCATTTGCATGTGGAGCAAGAAATAAATCATTGCTCATTTATTATGCTACATTAAACGAATCAGATCATCTTTGAACATCTCATAATCCGGCAGCAGTAAAAGCTCGGCAGTAGGAAAAAGAAAAACTCATTCATGGAGTAATGTACAATGTCGATTTATTATTTATTCGCCGCCAATAAAAATGGATTAATGTGAGACTGTAGCTGTTTTATCTATGGATATCTTGAAGCGTACTCATCCTTTCAAACAAACGTTCACCGATTATCGTACGTTTTCACATCAACTTCAGTGCTAATCGACTGAAAATGACAATACTAGACTAGTTTGCTAGCATGTTTCAGCAGTTCTGCTTCACTTCTTATTCAGTGACAACTTTCCACGAATTTCTGCCTAAAAATATGTCAGCAAGGCGAATCACTTCAAGATCACTTATGAAGTAATTTCGATCAGTGTGAATTAACTGAGGAATGAATGGCGAAACCAAATTTTGAATGACTGCCTCTTAGTGATCGCGTATGATTGAAATACGAAGTTCTTTAATGCATTTGAAACTTAGCGATATTCCATTTAATTTGATATTTTAACGATCAAAAAATAACTATTACAACCTCAAACTTTCCTGAAATTAAAACAATTGTTCGGAAATATGCACAACTCAATGAGGTTCATCGATAAAATAACGGTTGACTTTAGCAAAAAATAAGCACTCAAAATTTGAGAGTATTCCGAGGAATTTCATGCCAACTGCTTTCATTCGAATGTGTGCTTCAATTCGCGAGTAAACGTTCGAATAATGAAACGTTAAATGAACTGCGAATTCAGTAGCCATCTGAATTATGAAGGGAATTATGTATAATAATTGATTAATATGCCCATTAGACATTGGATTTTTTTAGGTCTGTCCTCAGTGAAACATTCAACGCAATAATCGACACACATAATCAATCATTCATTTGTTCAATTACTTAGGGCACATCTATATATAGCACTTCATGTGAAATGTTTTATTAGGAATATGAATGAATGCTGATAATTTATTGGCATTCCATATGATATGCTTTGTTTTTAATACGATTTTATGGGTCTGCAGAACTGATGTTAAATGATTACATGAGAAGATGAATAGATCTGAATTTTGCTATAGCAATTGACTAGACGGTTCAGGACCCGTTCAGTCATTAATTCATTGTCACCTCGAAATATGCGGGCAATCATAATCCTTTAACCGATTGAATCGAATCTATCGTTTCATTACATTTCGTATGCACTCATCTATTTTGCATCACTTAAAAGCTCTTGTTCGCAGTTTGAAATAGATTCAGATCCAAAGATGAACATTTTACAAAAGAAGCAGAAGGCATGCTCTATCGGACAGCGAAATTTTCACAAAAATAAGCCGAAATGATGGTAACGAGAACAAGATATGACGGTGAGTTACCTTTGGGTTAAGCTTGGGCCATAAGGATCATACGGAGACTGGGATATCTCTTAAACGAATAGCTGGTTCTGTCATATTGGGTCTATTAAATAAATAGGTGGATCCAGTATAAGTCTCAACCTAAGCCCGCATCTCACTATTGCCGTACCTCACTTTGATTATTAGCACTTAGTTGCTTCAATTGTTTCCGAGTTCTAATTTTAAAGAATACGTATATTTGGCGACTCGCTTACATAGTCAGAATGACTCTTCGTTACAATGACTACGTCGCAGAGTTGCCTTAGTAGCATCGAACTCTAGCCTCAGTTAGTTCAAGCACTCTTCGTCAATCCGGATTTGTGATTACTTATCTTTTGAGCTCAAAAGATGTCTTTGAAACAAATTGTGCCAAAATTGTGAATAATGTTGATTGAATCTTTGAAACATTGAAAAAATTGAATATCCGACTATGCGAGAAATTTGGATCGGATACGCATGCTTCATCACATGTTTTAGGCCTGCCTTATTGACAGTATCCTTCAAGTTGAAATATGTAAAGTTAACAGCAGAAGTTAGCGGATTATCTGGTAGTGACCAAATGACTGCAACTGCATCATGCTACAGATAAGAAATGTGAGTTCACTGAAGGAAATTTGGGATTAGCGTGAGCTCGGGCTTAGGCTGAGCATTAGGATGACGCTCAAGCCTGGGATTATTCACCTAACCAAACGCTTAATCTTAATATTCGGCATGGTTCCACGCCAAATGTTGACACTTTTCAGATGATCCGTTCAATTATGAACGCTGGTGGTTAGATGAAAATTTGGATGACAATGGGAGACGAGTGTATTCGTATATGTATTTATAGCCGAATTTATCAGACGTACTGCTATTTTTATGAATGGTTGGCTTACTTTAAAAGTGAATCATTTTTTAGAAGCTGATCTGTTTGGATGAGATATAAAGAGAAATGAACGAATTAATGAGAGTAGAAATGGAATCAGTACTACATGCTGATCACTTGTATGCACACCTTGATGCACATACTGTAACGATGCTCATAAAAGAAACGACTTCACATTATTGCACAACTATACCATTATTATAGTATGTAATAACACTGATAATTTTAGCAATTTTATCAAAATCATTCTAATAAGCATCCGATTTCGAAAGACAGAATTTAGAATCCAATTTATTGTCCCTACGTTTTGAATGTTTGCAAGAATTTTTTGAATAGAAATCTCTGAATAGAATGTGTTAGAAAATTTCAATCTCAAAATGTCGATATTGCCTGGGGCAGGAATTGACGGACTGATTGATCGATTACTCAAATAAGGAGCTATATCTTTTCAACGACGAATTTCTTGCAGAGACAAATAAGTTTAGGCAACAATAAATTTGGCTGAAGTATGCATCAGGCAATTATTCAAAAGCGATGACATAAATTAAACGACCGATAGACGCATAAAACATTATTCTGCGATTAATTCAAAAGATAATTTCGCTTCCAAACAGTGAACAATAGACTGCTGTGAATGAATGATAGATATTTGTATTTTTTTGTCACTCAACAAATGTCGATAAGTAGCGACAAGCAACGACAACTAGCGCTAACCAGAATTGTTATCAGAAACTAAATTTTGTTTTCCTGCGATCAGAGGTGGGCCAAGGAAATATGTATTTGACATTCGATACCTGTCACTTCGGCCTCCGATGCTCAACTAAACATCTGAGTTCTGTTCTACATTGATGTCAGAAATCTGTCAGTGGCATGTGTCAGAAGACCTAATGTATTCTCAAGCGGAAAAAGAGATGTCGGAAACCATTCAAAGGCTGAAATCAGCAAGGACACCTGGTAATGATGGACTACCGAGAGAGATATTCAAATGTGGTGACCGAAGATTAATCCAGCGGCTTACGGCATTAGACCGATACATTTGGGAGCATGAAGAGCCACCGCAGGAGCTTACGGATGCGCAGATCGTGCACATATTCAACGCAAAGGCGATAGAACAACCTGCGATATGGTTTGTCCAGACCACGAAAGACCCTGTCTGGAGTTGTTCTGAACCAATTTGCTTCACACGTGACCAACAGCGGCATCCTACCAGAGAATCAGTGTGGTCGTGGCTCCACCGATATGATATTCAGCGCTCGCTAACTACAGCAGAAATGTCGCGAAAAAAAACTGCCGATCCCTTCACTGTGTTCGTCGGTCTCATAAAAGCGTTCGATTTAGTGAACAGAAGTGGTCTGTGGTCAGTTTCGCGTAGGATCGGTTGTTCAACGTAATGAAATCATTTCACGAATTAATGTATCCTTGTATTATCCTTGTATTAACCTTGCATTATCAATTATTACTTGGACATCGAGTAGTTGTTTCGTTAATCGCAGTGAGCGATCGGCGGAATATTTGTTTTATTAGAGTAATGATTATTTATTGAATTGATACTTGACTGTGTTTAATTATGCGAAGTATTCACGGTGACTGATTATTTACTCGGTTGTGTTCGGTTGGCCTACTCGCCTAGCCAGCGGGGTGGCGTAAATTGAGGCTAAAACAACGTCCACGGAAAGGCGAGCATTGTGGCCAGCAACATTATAAACGTTTGATAGCCTGGCCAATCCAGGTATTATCTTAGCGGGAGACATGTCGGAAGAAATTGTGGCTAAACAGCTCCATTTTTGTGCGGAATCTTTTCTGCTGTGATGCTGATGATTGTATTCAAAGACCGGCTTACCAATTCAGTTTCATACAAATGGCAGTGTCTTCAACCTCAAACGACCAGAGGCCAAAACAAATGTGCACATAGGTTGAATAATAAAGTAATACAATACTCAAATCGGCAAAGAATCATTGTTTATTGAAAGGTTGTTCAAACGTTAATTTGATGTGTACGATAGCCAGTGGAGTGATTGCTGAGACCGAATTAATGCAATTTGTGGCATTGAATTTCTTTTTGGTTTCTGAAATCATTTTTGATGGGATTTGGATGAAAGTTTCACTGCTGTCCATTTATGAATTTATGTGTTGTTTTGCTGCTGTATAATGACACAGTTGATGTGGTTCCTAGCATTTATTTCGCTCTTCCAAATCACTTGTTTTGCTTGCAGCGATTTATGTCATTATTTCCCTCTTGAAATTACTATCGTTCCTATCTAACTCACTCTTCCCCAGCGTTTTGGTTGTGTCAGTTCAGTATTTCAATACATGATTAGCAAATTCCTATTGTCCAAGGCGATGCACCCGAAGTGTCCTGCAAATTCAAGGTGTTCTGGGGTTAAAACGTTTAAGAAGTGATGCTAAAATATCCATTCTTCATTAAGTGCCTCGCAGGAAATGAGAGACCTGCGATGAGAGTGCCGAAAGGTGATGAACTATCAGAGAATTCGAATCAATCGACGTTTAATTCGACCAATATTGGATTTATCAGTTGAGGTGATTTTTACTTAATGACTGTTTCAACGGTTTCTTTTCTTTGAGAATTTTTTAAGAAAAATTCATGGAATTAGCGACTGCTTCCGTTCAAAAATTCGTTGATAGTTGTGACAATATGGCGTTATGCGCTCGCGATAAAGCCGAACTGCTTGCTAACTTTATCGTTATAAATAAATACAGATCTCTCCTTTTGTCCTTTCATGGTTACTATTATCGAATAAAGGGACAGATATTCATCCAAATCCAAATAGAATGACCTTGACCAGTTACTTCCAATGAATAGCTAATACGTTGTGCGGATCTACGGCATCAACTGTATTTGTTTCGAGTAACGGGGTTGATCAGTGAAAAGTTGTTGAATATTCGAGTAATACTTGATTGAGGGATATTTCATGTTCGTTCAATATCGTGATCAATAAAAAAATGTGAGTGAAGAAATAATATCTTACTAGATATAAGGAATGGGAATGAAATCCAGTTCCTGTTACGACAGGAAAGCAAGCTTCCGATTTTAAATGAATCAGCTAAATATATTCATTCATCTCTTGAATCGTTCGTTTATGTATTCATTCATTCTGGCATACATTTAATTTGCTTACGATTAGAAGATAAGGAAACGATGAAGCATGCATTTCCCATGGCAGTTATTTCAATTACTGATAGAACAATGCATAGATATAAGCAGGAAAGTGAAAGTATAACCGGGAACATAAATGTATGTGCAATATTGGGTAAAGCAGAAACATCGAAGCTAGCTGAACCATTGTTGAGGAATGGAGACATGCTTTGTTGAGCTCGATAAGAAATTGGAAAATTAATTTGATATCTATTCAATTTCACATTACTGCATAAATTTTATACACTAATGCTGTTTTCCTGGATATTATTATCGTTAAGGTTGTATTGACTGATTATTTTATGGAAATTCAAATCGTTAAAAAATGAAATGAAACGAATATAAATGAAGGGAACAATTGGTCAGCAAATATCGTCAACAGAGATTTGGGTTACTAAACGTAATAATGAGTTCGGTTTAGGGAATGTTTCAAAGTTGAGGGTTGTAGATGTGATTTATATGAATGCGCATAAATTTATTTCATCGCCTATTGATTCATTGATTAATCGTCATAAGTAGAAGATGTTTATCGGCAATGAGAAAGCAATAAACAATAAGAAATGACCAATTAAGTAATACTGATGGAACGCATTCACAACATCTTGAAGCAATCAAACATAAAATGTTTTATGGGATGGATTGCCGTCATGTGGCTGTTCGTTCATCTTATTCTTCTGAATATCTGTGACACTGCGAAATGCTTATCAACAGTAATCCAAATGAACAGCAGATATGCTTCTGTTTCAGGATTACGCTTCAGCTACACACATTGCTTATATCACGGAATAATATATCCATGATAAACTGAGATATATCACGGACTCGTTTTTAGTGATGAGAAAAAGAATCAAAATTTCAAAGGGCTCATTCTGTGAGGTATAGCTACGATGAATGAGAAATTTATCAAATTCACTAATGTGAAAATGATGCACTGATTTTGAAAATAAAATTAATAAATAATGACAACAGTAAAAATAAAAATAAATAATAACAATTCAAACGACAGTAGAAAAGTTACCAATTAGTTAATTATGAAACGCTAATTACCCTATCAAAATGCTCATAAAATATGCACATAATGCAAAGATAATATTGAATTTCACTAACTGTGTGATAGAAGAAATTTCACTTCTTTTTCCATTACGAATAATAGGAGCGATGAAGAAGTCTGTCAATTGAACGAACTGATGAACATATTTCAAAAGTATCACTCGCTCAAGTTGTATCGCCCCGTCTTCACCATATCCTAATGCTGTAATCTATGTGAAATTTCAGATAGAACCATATCAATCATTCATTCGTACCAAACGTGATTCACATGTACCCGTACCAGACGATTCGGTTGCAATTCAAACAAGCCAGTACGCAATTATACTTCAAAATGAAATATTAGTTAATTAATTATGAATTCAACTGCATCGCAGATCAACTGCACTATTAAGCATTAACGGTAGTCACGCATTATTCAATGTCACTTATTTTTCCTAAAACGAAAAATTCCTAAAACGACGAAAAAAAATTTATTTCAAAGAAATATCAATTTTTTTGAAGCAGAAAAGATTTTTTCACAAAAACATTTTGACTGACACATCATTTAACTTAAAAATAGTCTCAACTAGTCTATCAATAAACTATACATGTTTAGTCTTTAAGCATGTCAGTATTTGACTAAATATAAATTGTAGAATATTTCCTTGCTAGATTCAATGTGTTTCATATCACATAAATATTTACTAAATAAAACAAATTGAGCGCAAATTCGGAAACGATACTGTAATTTTTAAGGGACTGAACAATTATTTATGCACTCGTCAGTGCATCAAAACGTATCTCTTGCGTATTCTTTCAATAAAGCACCCTAGGTGAACTGTTATTGGATTATATGGAAATTATTGTTTATGGGCATATTTATAAAATGACGAATACAATAAATTTCATTTGAATACTTCACCAATACTCAGTTTGATTAAAAATTCTTTTCTTACATGCGATAATAAAATAACATTTGTGACTGTATAGAATCAGAATGAGCCGGAGCAGTGACATTTTTACTACTTGTCACTTGTCATCACCAATACTTCCTTTCAGAATCCTAACTGAGGTCAATACAAAGCGTTTCAAGAAAACTTACAGTTTCGTCTAACCTTAATGTTTTTTAAAATCTTGTGACTGTAGCCAATTCTTCTGTCTGACTATTAGATGAAAACGCTATCAAGCTGCTTAAAGGACAATCCGCAATTATTACAAATGCTTAAAGGACAATTCGCAATTATTACAATTATCAAGCAGGTTCATTTATTCCTATTGGCCCATGGTTAGGCTTGAGCTTCGGCTTTCGTTTAGGCTTACGCTTATACTTAGGCTAAGGCTTAGGCCCGCCTGGGCTTCGGCTGAGCGTTACCTCGAACATAAGCCGAGACATATTTTGGGCTCAGACTGAGATTTGCCCTAGTTTATCCGTTAACTTGAAATATCGCCTCTTTTTCGGAGTGAATTCTTGACGATGCCAGAATTTCGCTGGCGTCCTCACCAGAAAGTGTTACAATTCAGACTCCCCACAGGGTCTGCTAACAGCCGTTCTCTAGAAACTTTTTCCTTCAATGCGTCAGTCACAAAAATTACGACAGCGAAACGTCACGACGCCATCAAACGACGGCTGTAGAAGGTCATGTACACAACTATGGTCACTGTTCAAATTCTTTTTTTTAAGTGATGAGAAATAGAAACGAATTTTCAAAAGACCCGTACTGTAAGATACAGTTACGATGATTGAGATTTCACTGATGTGAAGATGAGAACTGGGAATGAAGCACCGTTTTGAAGCATTTCTCGAATTTTTAATTAAGACAACTGATCGATCCAACATTATTATTTCGGCCGCAATTTTTCTGTCGAATAAGAAATGATAATTGCGTATGCATACAGAATTATCAATGATAATAATTCCTGAACGATGAGAACTGAAATAATTGAATTATTAGTGAAATTCACATAACTATGAACGTTTGAAGCTAATATTCGATTAATACATTTCTCTTAATTCCATTATCATCTATAGATTTGTTGATGAAAGCATTGCGCAATATTCATTACTACAGAATATCTAATTCTTGATAACAAGAACATCAGTTGAGAATAATAAACTTAATAGGCGCAAAAGATTGCTGTCGTAGTGAGTGTTGATGCTGAAGGCAAAATGAGTTTCGGTTTGATGTGTTTTGGGATGGCACTTTTGTG